CCTTGTCCTGACTTTCGCTGCTAACCACAAAGTCGGGAGTTCAAATCCAAAAGGTGCTTTGTGGGAGAAGAGATGAAGTGTTTGCTGCTCCCGTAGAGATGTGAGGACTTCAAGGAAGCTCCCTAGACCTTGGGAACCTCAATGTCCTCATCTGTAAAATGGGACGGATGATGGTATGCCCTTCTGTAGCTGTAGAAGAAGTCCTAAACTAGGAGGATCTCCAGCTTGACGTAGGTCACGTCTAAGGTTGAGCACTGAGGAAACGGAAGCGGAAGCCCAGAGAGAGAGAATCACATGTCTAGGACCACAGCTTTCCCATTCTTTTCCATTTGGAGGTGAATTTGGAGTGGGATTTTTTCCTGAGAGCTTCCCTCTGACAGTTTCCCTCTGACATGCTTCACGGCTTCAAAGAGAAGGTAAGGAAATGACGTAGAACATCTTGCTTGACCTTCTGCCTTCTCTTGACACTGAGTAGCACCTGGACTTCTTCCAGATCCTTCATGCTAATCGTGTCCCACGCTGACCTTGTGGTCCTTCCTTCAACGCCTACCTTTTCCTGGGCTCTCCATCACTGCGATGGTCCACCCAATTGACTTGCAAGACCCTGGATGCTACCCTTACCTGTTCCTTTCCCTCCACACCCCGCAGCCCAGTTTCAATCTCTCTAGTCCTGACTCTTTCTCTATGAGTCCCTTCCGCACTGTCACCCTGGTCCCACCCTCAATCTTGGTCCTCTCCCACTAGGTCTGTCCACCAGCCGCCTTCCTCTCCTCTCCAGTCTCCTCTCGCTCAACTCCAAAGGATCTTTCTGCACCCAGAAGGGACTCTGAGCCTGTCCAGCCTGTCTAGCCCCACAACCTGGCCTTGAAGGCCAAGGGTGATCTATCTGGACCTGCCCACCTCACTGGCTTTGTCTCCAGCACTCACACTAGTCACATGGCCCTCCTACCTCACCTGTGGCCCGGTGCAGTGGGATTAAGACGTGGACCGAATTAAAATCCTGATCCTCGGGCAACTCACTTCTCCCCTCAGGGTGCCCTAGTTCCTTCATCTACAAGATAGGAGAAACCATGGAGGTGAAATGTAGACCAGCAGCTCACCGCAGTGCCTGACCCATACAAGTCTCTTCAGAAGCACTTCCTCCCTTCCACCTTCCTCCCCACCGGTTGAAACCTCATCCACTCAACAGCGTTATCACCTGGGCCATCAAACCATCTCAGATTGCCCTGGCAGAGTGCTCTCACACCCATGTTTGCAGGCAGTGGAGTTAAACCACCACCCTGTCCAAGCACGCCTTACCGAAGTGCCCTGCTGTCTTCCAGCAGGTTGTTGAGTTCACTTCTGTGGAGTGAATCAGACTTACCCTGGGGCTGCTATCAACTCATTAAGGATGTGCCTCCCCCACCCCCACCCCCTGCTCCCCAGGAAATAGAATCAGCTTCAGAAGGATCCTCAATCATTGGGTTTCCCTACAAGATTGTATTGTTAGTTCAGAAGCAACAAAGCCCACATGGAAGAAGCACACCAGCCTATGCAACCACGAGGTGTCGAAGGGATCAGGTGTAAGGCATCA